TTTTGATATATTTACGGTAGGAAATTTACAAAATATCTTCATGGAACATGATCTTTACTTAATATCCAATGATTTTTGGCATAAAAGAAAAATGTATAATTTTGACCCATCCAATGCATTTTTGGCTATTGCTACAAATATACCCCAGCGACTTAAGACTTGTTTTGTGGTCCAGGGTCACATATATTTTTGTACATTTAAATTTGGCAGACCTCTTTATCTAAATCAACTTACATTGTATTCAAGGTATACACTTTTTCTGTTCATGCATAGGGATTCAAACTCATGACCTTGCAACATATTGTAGCATAGGAAACATTATACACTTCACCATTAAAATCCCACTGTTGTCACCTACTGGTGCCACCAACTAGTTGTTCTACAGTATATTATCTTGCAGTGTGGGTAATCACTGACTGCCATTAAACAGCAAATACATTTATTTATTTATTTATTTTTCAATATTTTGAAATGATTTCTTAGTGATATCTCACATCACAGCTGGATTTTAAGGGAAAGTAAAACTATTGAATACCATGAAATTGTCATCATGAAAAGATGTGAGATTTGTAACTGAGGCAGAAACAACTGGTGCATCAAAGTGACTGCCCAGATGGTATGTACACACCCACCCACCCTGGCTAGCACATGAAACGGTGTGAGTTGCCTACTGATGAGACCACCAATCACTGGAGGGGAGGGTGGGCTGGACCACTTTAAATGTCACGTCTGTGCTGCTAATTTCACGATTGTTTGCACTTTTTTGTTGGTGTGATTATAATGTATGCAAATGTAATGCAGAGTTGTTTAAATGAACATCATGTAATATTATTTGATTTGTTTTCCAGGGAAAGCAACTGGGAAGGGCAAGGAGAGTTTGCCACATCACAGGGATGTTCCAGAAAGTTCCAGCTACTGTCTGCCCTGCCAAGAAGGCTGTGCTTTCTGCAAGGACGACGCGCCCTGCGTGGCCCGGGGTGAAGGTGCCCTGCGTATGGCAGTGCTCTCCTTTCAGGGCTTGTGCATGCTGGTGGATTTCATCAGTATGGTACTGCTCTACCATTTCCGCAGGAACAAGGTGAGCATTTGCTGCCGGAGGGAGCTAATTAAAATGGCAACTGTTTCCGTGAAGCACATCCTGTTCTTATTGACACCGGGGTGTTTCCATGCTGAGTTATATTACAATTAGTCACTCGTACGCCGAGTGTTAGGTAGTGACATTTTATTCCCTGTTAAATTAGAAAGCAGATGGTTTTGAGATACATTAGAGTTGCAAGTGTAATCTATATTGTGCAAACCAGGTTTATTGGAAATACATGCTTGTGGCTACATTTCAGCAAAATTATTTTTCATTGCTTCTTGCACGCTTTGCGACACATTCAAAGTGAAAGGTCCACTGAGTGGCACCAAAAGCGTTTTAAAATGTATCCAAAAGAAATGAAATATTCGGTGAATGGTGCTAAAAACTTCACTGTGTTTGAAAATAATGTTCCACCTATACGATACCTAATCGATAGTAATTAACAAAAACAAGTTTAGTTTCAAATCAAATGAAATCACTAGCAAAAGCTTTTTTTTCTTTCGTTAGGATATCATATTGTGCAAGGAACCACATGAAAACAAGTCTTACTTAATTGATAATATGCCTTTGTAATCAAATTTTTTTGTGAAAAGGGATAAAAATTGTTGGCATTTTACTTCCTCTAGTGTTCATTTCAGATGTAAACCGCAGTGAATTGTACATACAGTATAGGTACGTTTTTGGAGATTTGCAAAAATGCAGTTAGAGGCACATATTTCCAGTGAGCCTGGGTTTTCATCATGTTTCAATATCTTTGTTTCCATCTGTCAACTCTGCTCTGTTGAATGTGTAATTAAATTCAACAATTGCAAAAGTACAATATACTAATCACTGCAGGTTGTCACTTTGCACTTTGATTTTACTTCAAAATGTTAGGCAGCATGCCAAGGAGATAAGAAATGGTATATTTTAAGCTTATATGAGTTAATTAAGGAGATATTTAGAGCAGAAACAGGCTGAGACTCAAACAAGGTTGATAAAGGACAGAGAGAATGGAGTTTCCGGGAGACTAAATGAATGGATTGCACCATTAGAGGGAAAGA